GGTGTCATAATGACTGAAATTAGTAAAATAATTATGCATTTACAACCAGTAGTCAGTACGATATTCACTTGCCTTGTTCACATCCCTTTTCTATGCATGGTGAACATGATTTTGCCACATAGCAGTAGCAATTGCATCCCTAACGTTCGATTGGGACGTTAACCCATGTTGTGACATGTCAACGTAGTCAGGTTGGTCTCCAGGAAGCCCGTCTGCTTCTGCTTCTGCGGCCATTTCATTATCAGCTTCCATAAATAATGGATCCATAACTGCATGCAAACGGATCCAATTGTGCACTACACAACATGCAATCACGAGAGGCCCTTGTCGTGTAGACTTGTAATTTGGCATGGACCGCAATATTGGGAAGCGCTTCTTCAAAACACCAAATGTTCTTTCTATGACGTTGCGTAATGACGAATGTCGATGGTTAAACAATTCCTTAGGTCCTGCATAACGATGGCCACGAAACTCTTGCAAGTGATATCGTTGAGACCGAAATGGAGCAAGAAATCCAGGCATGTTCGTGAAACCAGCATCAACTAAATAGTACTTGCCTACATGTAAATAATGAATACACTGTTCTGTCAATTGATATGTATAAAAACAGGCAAGGAAAAAAGTGTACAGTATGTTGTTCAGGGACAGTCACCATCGGGTGGGTGTGGGAACTGTAGATCAGCTCGTGTAATAGAGTCAACCAGAATAGCATTGTCGTGAGCACTACCTTCCCATCCAGAATTAATAAATGTGAACAACATATCGAAGTTGCAAACTGCGAGTACATTTTGCGATACTGTTGTTTTCCGACCGCGGAATGTATGTTGTCTTGAAGCAGGGACCCATGCATCCACCAATGTGCCATCGATAGCACCGACACAATCCTAATTGACAGATATCAGCCTTTGATATTAAAAGCGAAACAAACTGATTGATTTTACTTTCATAATTAAAAAATAATAATATTTATTAACCCTTATGGATATGAACAAATTTACAGGACAGTCACACTGTTCGTACCTTGAACCAGGGAAAAAACCGCCTGTCATTTAAAATTTTTCCTGGGATGTCCTCTAGGTTACGTGGTTTGATAACCGATGATGAAAGCTTGCACAATGCCCGCATAACAATTTTTATGTGCCGACAAATTGTTTCCGTTGAGTGTTGAAATCTATCTGCCATTATTCGATGGCGATCATTTTGTGCAAAAGTGTATAAAAAAATTCCAAGCGATTCCTCCACACTTATATGCATATGTTCAGTATCCATAAAGCCATTATGGAGTAAAGTGTCTTTCAATAAAATGAATGTTTGTGCATCCATTCGCATAACGTTCATCATTGTTTCTGGATGGCCATTTAATAGGCCGAAGATGTAATCATCACCTCTGAATGGACACGTTCAAAATCCATAAAATCATCAACAACCTCATCCTCCTCTGATGAGAGCTCCATTGTATTGTTTTCTCTGTCGGATGACATATGCCTTTGTCTACATCACAGTAAAAGCATAATTATAAAATATGTTATTCATGCAGTAACAGTTAGCGTTATTGGTGAAACAGTAAAATTCAGAGGATAACAAAATTTATTTAACACATGGTCATATTATAATAACTTCCATAGTTTTAATATAACAGAAAACACTTAAAAGTTAAAAAAAAAAAAAAACATACGAACATAGAAAAGAAAAGAGGATATGATGGAATGAAAAAAATAAGAATTAAAACCAAATCAGGGATAATGAAATGATCAAACAGTTCAGCCAAGAAGATTTGCTAACACAAGCAAAACAGAACGTCTCAGTTCACTGCAAAGCGAGGATCATGGCTAGGCGCAAATGGGTAAGAGTACGCATGAAAATCCTTCTCCATTCCTTATCCTTGAACAGTGTCAGTGCCCTAACGTACTACAACGGTGGTATGTCCCTAAGCTCAAGCAATGTATCTTGACATGCATCAAGGGAATAATCATCACCACCTGCACTTACAGCCTCAGTCTCATTTTCTCGTGCACGTGAATGTTCTGTTTTGGCTTGTACATAGGATGTGAAAGCTGCACACACATCATCAAACCCACTTGACCGTGACTTTTTGGAACGACCACTGTCAGTCTTGCTGGTTGTAGGGCCCCTCTTGTGACTTTTGCCCTTTGCTGGATCTATATACTCATCCCCGAATAAGTCAATAGGAATGGCCTCAGCAGCATTACTCCCACTAGCGTTACTCCCACCAGCATCAGCGTTCCAATATTTATTTAACATGTCGTCTTCTTCTTCTGAGTCAAGGGGTCCTTGTGTGGATGCACGAGACAGGGCCCCTGTAGCACAACAATTTTCAACAATTTCTGCCATTTCCTAAAAATATTCAAACCCTTTTGTCCTAAACTTCTTCACATTTCTGCTAGCCTACAACAAGTACAAAACAAGAATTAAGCATTGTATATATAATGAAACGTTTAAAATAAAATTAGAAAATAGTACAGATTAATGGAAAACCTTATCCCAAAATTCATCGGGTGCAACAACAGTGCCTATAATAGGATCCCATCCCAGACCAGTCTGTGCCTGGAGTCGCTTGAATGTCTGGTAATCAGCTTTCAAGCGCTGATATTTTTGGCGCACCTTAACACCTGTATACCGAAATCCATATATGTTGTGCAACTGATTTGCATAATGATTCCAATGCCTAATTGTCCACGAAGTAGTACGGCCCGTTGTTTGATTGTTTCTAACCTCATCTCTCAACATATTTATTAATTTCGTTTCAATTCTGGGCGTCCACATTTTGGTGTTCTCATTGTCATCGGAATTATTTCCATCCATCTATAAATATACAAATTATATTTAAACTAGTTAGAACTCACTAATTCATCAAATTGGTGAGTTTCGTGTAGACTCCGAGAGACGTGCTGAACTGACAAGGAACCGACATACCAAATAACCATT